CTCTCTTCACCAGAATCTTGATTTATCACTGGTGAAGTTAAACCAACCATTGCCATCAATATATTTTCTGTACCTTTTTCATGGATGATCTTATCACGAAATTTGAGGAATGAGAGAAAACTCTCACGTGAATTTACATTGTATACAAAGATAAAGCCTTGACTAGAACGATAGTATACATCGTTGATTCCCCAAAATTCCTCTTGACCTACGGTGGTGTTAATGTTTACATTGTAGGCACCAGATTGAATTGCTATGGATTTCTTTGTCGATATTTCCAAGGTTGGATCTTCACCGATACCATTGTTTAAAAACGATGAAATGAATCTTGCTTTGTTTGAAAGTTCATCTCCTACCACCATAATTTCAATGGTCTCAGTGTTGTTACTAGATTTCATTGAATCCATTGAAATCGATGAATAATGAGCGATATCACCAAACATAACATTACTACCATTCTCATCGGCTGCACCATTCATAGATGATGCTAAACCATTCATAGATTGCATACTATTGTTTGCACTATTATTATTACTATTATTTGTACTACCATTTAAACTACCATTACTGCCGCTGCCGTTACTTTGATTCAACTGTTGGGTATAATTATAACTTAATGCACTACCGCCACTTGAAATCGATATATTATTATGTGATACACTACCGAAACTACTCGTTAAATTATTACTTGAATTATTATTTACATGTTGATGTAAATTACTTAGACTATTATTTAAATTTGCTCCATTTGCTGCAATAATCGATGCAACATTTTTACCCTTCAAATTATTATTAACTGATGGTGATGCTGGATTATTTGGCATATTATTATTTATATTTATATTTATATTTATATTATCTTGTTGTTGTTGATGATGATGATGATGATGATTGTGATGATGATCTTTATCTTTATCTTTTTCTTTTCTATTTGATCTTGGTGATATATTATTATTAAATGCAACACCGATTTGATTAAAACTTGCTTTTATTAAATTAAAATTACTACTACTATTACTTGGTGTTTTTTGATGATGTGGTTGATATGATGATGACGATGATGAATTTATTATTATGGATGGATTTTCTTGTGTTGCTACACCAGTTATATTATTAGTTGATCCTGCCTGTTGTTGTTGTTCTAAAAATTTACTTTTTAATTCTCCTATATTTATATTACTATTACTTTTTGATCGATTAAGAAATCCCAACTTTGATGATGTTGGTGATGTTGTTGTTGTTGGTTTTAATGTATTTTCTGAAGATGGTTCTATTGAAAATATATAAAAATAAATAAAAAAAGTTAATATATAAAATAAATAATTGTAATTTTTTAAAAAAAAAAAAAAAACCAAAAATATTAATTTATATTTTTTTAAAAAAATAAAAAAAGGAAAAAACAAAATAAAATAAATTAACCAAATTATATTGTATTAATAAATCAATATGTGGTTGTAAAAAAAGGAAATAACATTGATAGGAAATTTTGAAGGTAATTCAATAATAGCAATTATGATAATAACAAAAAAGCACCATACACAAATTAATAACGGCAATAAACATAACACAGAAATTAATAAAAACATACATTTTGATATCAATTATCCAGATATCAATCTAATTAATAAATAGTGGTTATGATTATTGTTATTGAGAGTGTGTGTCTGCGTGAGTGTGTGAGTGTGAGTGTGAGTGTGAGTTGTGTTTGTTTCTTTGTGTGTCAAATAACTTGAAAATCACGCCTATATTTGTATTATTTGAATTGTGTTATGTGTGTGTGATTGGCTTTTTTTTAAAAATTTATAATTTGAATTAATTTAATTTAATTAAAAATCAAAGTATAGTTTTTTTTTTTATTTTAATTTTTTGCCTGTTTTTTTTTTTAAATTTTATTTAAAAAATAAATAGAATATAAAAAGCTATCACAATCATTGAGATTAACTTTATTGTGGTTGTGTGGTGGGGTGAAAAAAAAATTTTGAAAAAAAAAAACTCTCTTCAATTTGAGAAAATTGAGAGGTATCAAATAAAATCAAATTTACAAAAAAAAAAAAAAAAAAAAACTTCGAATGATTATCTATACCTTAATCATGTGATGTATTTTTTTTTATTTTAAAAGTGGGTGTAGAAAATAAATTATATTGTTATTGGCAAGAACTGTGGTTTTTTTATTTAGTGAGGGGAGGATTTTTTTTTTTTTTTTTTTTTTTTTTTGAAAAAAATATTTTTTTTTTTTTTTTGATCGACGCTAAAAATAACAACAAAATAATTTAAGATGAACAATTAATTTGGTGGGTTAAAAATAACTTAATAATAAGTAAAAAAAAAAAAAAAAAACTTTAAATAATTATCTTTTATTACCATAAATTTGATTTTGTATTATTAGAAACAGATTAATTGATTTTGTTGTATAGAGTTTTTTTGATTTAATTATAATAATAGGAATCAAAAAAAAAAAAAAAAAAAAAAATAAAAAAAAATAAAATAAAATAAAATAAAA